TTTATTTTATTATTATTATTATTATTATTATGATAGAAAAAAAATTGTGGTGAGATGGTAGCATCACCAACCAAATGTTTGTTTTGAGTGATGACAAAAATGGGGAATAATCGTTAGGCTGAGGCAGATATTTATTTGATTTTTCCATTTTTCTAATTTTTAATAAATTATATTCTAATTTTAAATTTTTAAAACTCTCCTAGGAAAAATATTAATCTCAGACGCAAGTAATTGCGCATTTCAAAGGTATCCATCTCCATTTCTACAAAAATAAAAAACAAATTATAATAATTAATAAAGTAGTGATAGATGGACACGACTCTCTACAATGGTATGATATTGTTCATTTAAGCATAAACTCTCGTGATTTTGCTTTGGGCTTCTCCCAAGAGACCTCATACCAATGGAAAGAGTATTCTTTGATTATAAACTCGTGATCATTCCCTAAATTAACCGATGTGGGACTTTCATCATCCAGCAAGTAGAAATACGTTATTTTTTGTCGAAAATATTTTGATACCTTAATCAATATCAAGTTGTAAGGATTACTTTAATAATCTTCATTAAGGATAGTTTAATACGTTAAATAAGAAATGAATTATTTATTAAGAGATTTCAATATGTAGATTCTTTGACTTTTACATTTTCACTTTTATTCTTTTATTTTATATTTTTTTTTAGTTTGTAATCAACTTTCAAAATTCTAATTTTACTCCGTCTAATTTTTATTAAACTTTGTGTAACTTTTGGTGAGATTTATAAAATCGTTTCGTACCTAACAACTTAAAAGTTATTCTAACATTGTTTATCGTCCATATGTCGTATCTCAAAGCTATTATAAAAGTATTGTGCTTAAGAAAATAGGAGTTTAACAATTAAAGAGGATGCTTACGAAAAGTTCGAGAATCAAAATCAAAACTGAAACGAATAAGGTTTTATGACCAAATGATGTTTATAATAATAAATAATCAAACATGTATATCGTGAACGAATCTCCATATTCGGGTTTAGTTCGGTTCTAATTGTATGGTACCGTGTTAAAATTATTTCAAAGGTCAAAGTTAGCTATCCATCGTAAAAAAAAATTCAAAATTTAGAGTCAAGTAACTTCAAAATCTACCCATTAGGGTGAAAAACAAATTGTACCCTTTGTAAGAAAAATTCTTGCACTTTTACCTTCGTGGTAGATTTTTATCATAATCAATAATTTCGGAGTAACTCACGTTAGCTAATTAAGAACATCATAAATTTATAAGGAAAATAATATTACGAGAGCTTATGTTCAAAGTGAACTATATCATATCAATGTAAAGGTCCGTGGTTACTAACATGGCATCAAAGTCATGTCATTCATGCCCTTAACTTAACATGTTAATAGAATTTTCAAATGTCGAATAAATGGTGTAGTTTGTTTGTCGAGCCTCAATTAAGGGGAGGTTGTTCGAGGGGTCGATACTGAAACAAGACGTTGGTGCATTAAATTAAGACGTTTGCATCGTGGTACATCTAAATTTAGGCCATCTACAACATTTCTTTCAATTATTGAGATTTGTATATACAAGTATATTTGGAATCACATGACACTATTAGACCCCTCAAAACAAAACAAAATAGGTTCTTTGGTATGATCATATATCATAATGAATATGAACTCAGATTTAAATTCTCCGAATCATTTTAATGATCAAGAAGGAGACATCAATAATTCCAGAGACTTTCAAGGTCAATTGGATCACCAGAAGGCGATGATGGGTTATGATGATCTTCCTCCATCGTTCCAATTCCACGCCCAAAACCTGTAATCTCCACTTTTGGATTCATCAACTCACTTGCCCTTTGATTCTCAACCAACATTCTCACAACGCTGTTTCCGGGCATCCAAACAGATGGCGGCGAAGGGTTGGGGAAATGGAACGCCGGCGGTGAAGGGTTGAAATTGTAAGCCCTATCGGATGTATTGGAGAAGCAGGTCACGCGTGGTGGACGTTCCACGGCGGAGTAGGGCGTTTCGGAATGGGAATATTCCATTAGCGGCGGCAGAGCGGTGGAGCTCTGTGGTGGTTTCTCCCCGGAGCGTTTGTTGAAGATTCGGCAGATAACCCATTCGTTCTGTGAAGGAATAAACCCATAAAAACAGAGAGAAACAGAGCGAAACAGAGCGAAACAGAGCAAAACAGAGAGAAACAGAGCGAAACAGAGAGAAAGAAAAGAACCTTAGAAAGGGGGGATTTTGGTGCTAAACGATACTCGTGCATAACCCAATTAGATTTATGGCCTTTTGGGGCTCTTCCAGTGTAAAAAACCAAAGTTTTCTTCATACCCACAATTCTTTTTGCTCTGAGAATCTCTTTATCTTTGCCGGTGGCCTTCCAATACCCAGAGTCCGTAGCTCTGTTCGTCCGCAGCCCAGTGGGGTACTTCCTGTCCTTGACGCAGAAGAAGTACCACTCCTTTTCCCCCATTTTGGCTCTCCCTAATAACAAAAAAGACTGTAAGTTGAGTGAATTAGGATTGAGATGAGTATAAGTGATGAGATACCAGGCAAGTCCCAGGGCTCTGATTTGTTCAAATCGGCCTCCCCGATGGCTACGGCGGTGAAGTTGGTGTTCAGGACCTTGGGGGAGAGGTAGTGGGTGATGAGCTCCTCGTCCGTCGGATGGAATCGGAATCCCGGCGGCAGTTCTATCTGCTCGTCCATTATTGAATTCATATGAACACACACACACATGAATTTGGGGATATTATTGGAATCCAGAGGTTGAACAAAAACCATGCCTTTATTTATACCTGCTGCCAAACACATCTTTCCTCCATTTTTATTTTTTATTTTTTATGAATATTGTAAATTGTCGTCATCATCAGCGTCAGCATCTGGATTCCATCTTTAATTTTACCCAACAAAGAATAGGATAAAACCTATTAAAATTGTAATGAACCCATCTATTAATGCCCGAGTCGGTCACAACCCGGCTTAGCGACTCGAGGCCAACCCACGCTAAGGGGAAAAAAAAAGTCGAGGCTTAGAAATTGACAATCGATATTAAGTTGAAGCATTGTTAATACTAACTATTAAGACCAAAACTATTGATTTGATAATAATAATAATTGTGGGTAGGCTAAGGATATTAATTGAGTATATTAATCTAAAATCCCAGAGCTGTTGACTTTTTCATTACATTAGTGCGACTTAGTGAGTTACTAGCTACATCATCAACTTTACAATAATAATGGTATTGATCGTAACCATATGATCATCACACTTAACTTATATATAAATGATCTTATGAGATTGATTAGTAGGTGAAGAGGCTGAATTTAAGGCAATTAAAGTCATGGTGCTAGTTGTTATTTAATATATTAAATAACGTTGTAATTTTATATTTAATGATTTTCCTTAGAGGTTGACTTTTTTTTTTCTTATTTTACTTTTAAAAATAATAGGAAGAACTATTAGCGCCTCATCCTCTAAATTTGAATTTATGATTGAGCCACCCAAAAAAAGAAGGTATATTTTGTATTAACTTTTGATCGACAATCATACTATTTTAATTCGGTTACGTCCATCAAGTTATATATACAATGAAAAACGATATTAATGAAATTATTGGAATATATATATATTTCTATTGCATGTGCGGCCATTTAGTTGTGAAGTTTGGTCACATGCACAATGACGATGAGCAATAATTGAGTTCAGAATTAATATATATATATATATATATAGATAAAATAATTGAGTTCTATTTTAATGCTTATATTTTAAATATTACATCCTCACTAAATTTTTGTAGACATTTGTTTTAGTCTTTACATTAATTTTTTTTCTTCTAAATTTAATATATCTGACTTACAATCTATCATGATTAAAGGATTTAAATATATTAGAAATAAAATTAAAATTTTCAAAAATGTTGATGAATATTTTAAAAAGAAATATTTAATTCTCACACTTCCAAAAAAATACTTTTATAATCATGGTGTACGGACACTGTGCTAAAAAAATGACATTAGATTGGTCACGATATTTAATTAAATTAAAGAAACGAGTGCAACAAACTTATTAATAGTCATATATAGAAATTAAATTAAACATAACTGCCCTCTTTAACTTTTTATCCGTTATTTTATTTTATTATTATGCAATTTTTTAAAACATAATAAAGGTCGAGGCTTGAATAAGTGACCTCTCCTCTTGCTAGCATAATTTATGGAGTTTTTTTTTTTTTTTAATCATAAATTAATTGTTCATTAAGGAGATAAAACAAACTTTTAACTCAATTATAAATGTAAATAATTCGCAAATGATCGATTTACATATAAGAATTATATCTTTGGATAAAACTAATTGAAATCTAAGAATTATATCTTTAGATAAAACTTATTTTATACGTTTAAAGTAAACTATTCTATAGATAATGAACAAAAACTCATAAAGTATAGAATTTAATTAGTCAATTTGATACTATCAAACTTATAAATTTGTAGATTCATAAGGTCTCATTAGCACGCAACGCTACAATTAAGTAAAAATTACATTTAACTGGAAGTTCATATTAATATTTGTTAAAAAAAAAAAAAAAAAAAAAAAAAAAAATCCTTCTCTCCCAGTCACTTATAAATTAAGGTTTCCTCAAACCATTGTTGGGGTTTGGGATTCATGGGAAGATCATGAAGTTTGGGTTTCAAATATTAAATTGAAAAATAAACTACAATAAAATGAACGAACAATTCAAACAAATGCATATAATAATTCAAAAAAATGCATATAATAAGACCAGCACGTTCAAAGTTTATAAGAACGTAAAAAACAGCCAACAAACCCAACTAAGTTATCCAACTAGGGCTTTTTGAAATGCCCAAGTGGGAGTAGGAGCACTTGCTTTGATACAGGTAGATTAAGTTTTGAATTCTAGAGGCTTTTATTTTATACATTATTAGGCTGCAACCGCTAACTTATTTTCTTCCCCTTTAAAAACATAGATTTCACGGCCATATACACATCAGAAACTGCCACACAATTTTCTACATTAAAATGGATTTAAAGAATAGCATTACGAGAGTTGTATAAAATTTAAAAAGAAAAATACAAGCATTCCCCCATTTACCTCAACTATCAATTCAATCTTCTCGTCCAAGCCTGCTCTATTCTTGTCATCAGCTCCAAACTAACCTGAGGCCCCAAAATGAAGCAACCATTTGATTTGAAGACAGCTCTTCACAGCTCGAAGAACTCAGTTTCGTTCCAAACACTAACAATCTGTACGAGCAGTTTACCTAAAACATTCATTTTCTAAAACCTTCCAAGGTCAAAATGAGTATAAAACTCCAGTTGCATTCAGCAACAGCTAATAATATTACTTCCAGCTGCCAAGTTTCCATGCAAGGACCAGAGACTCAGAGCACAGGCCATCTCTAGGGTCAGAAAATGTTATATCCTTGCACAGAGGAAGGGTGTACTTTTTTGAGGTACCAACAGTACCAGTAACCTGGCACAGATGTTTCGGCTTGACCTCATAGCTATGTTGACAGAAAAAATCCTTTTGAAGATAAAATACTGTAAATCCAAAATAATATAAGAAACAAAAAAGACTGCAAGGCATTATGAGTTCTACAAAAACTTGCCTGACCACTATAAACAATGAACAAACCAATGCATTTTCAAACTATAGCGGACCAAGCTTGCCCTGTCGAGTATAGAATGCCACTGGCTGGCCTTAATATAGTCTCTTCACTTACTGGATAATAAACTAAAACAGCATTCATCTTTAAGCACATATTATTTCCAGATTCAGTGTTTAATGAATATAGCAAAAAGAATAAGAAATCAAACTGACCCCTTTCCTTTTGTTTTCTTACTTCTCAAACCATCTTCTTTTTTTATAACTCAATATTTCCGATGACCCACTCTCACAAACCCGAAGGCACCGGCGCACCCACCCCAAGGCCAAGACCCGAAACATCGAGGGTTTTTCTTATTAAGCTCGCTAAAGGTTCCAACCTGAGGCTTGATACCAAACCTTTTCCTTTTTCAGAAATTAGAGTCTAAAGTAGGAATGTTTTAGCGCCATAAAAATGAATGTCCATTGGGGGTGCAAGAGAGCAGAGTGCGACATTTAATCCCAGCACATTTAGGAGACGATGCAGAATAGGGTGCACTCAAGGGTAAAAAGGAAAAAATAAAACAGAATTTTGAGGAGATAATGAGTGCACATCATGAGTTCTAATCAAATCTTATAGCAGTAAACCACACAAAACGAAAACTCCACATCTGTCCAATCTGGAAGTCAACACGGTTTCATAGTTCAATCTTTGAGAAGGAAAAACAACAAAAAACCAAGGCATTTCGGCTAGTAGGTTATTAGGAGCTCAAGATCTTATGCAAGGTCATCTTGGTATGTGGATGAGTTAAAATTAAGAGCAACAAGATCTTCAGGCATGGTCCATCTAAAGGTAGCATCAAGGTGGGCCATGAATATGTCAAACCCTGGTTCATCTGGTCTTCAGGTTAAGGCAGTAGGCTGGCCTCAGGCTTCATAAATCTCAGCTGTTTTAATGGGAAGGGAAAGGCAAGGGGAAAATAACTGTATCAGAATTTTGAGCAGAGGGAGACCGGATAGCTTATTTTTATCAAACTATCAATTGTCAGTGGTGTGTTGGCGAATGTTCTAAACAGGTAAAAGTTATCTTTTCTTCCGTATTTTCTCTCTTTAATCCTGCCCCAAGGGAGACGAAATAGCATACCTGTAAATAATGACCACCAAAATCTAGGAATAGTTTCTCCTCCGAGAAACATTGCTTTGTCCAGAAACCCTGAAGAAAAAGTGAACACATGATTACTACCCCTTTTTTTTTTTGTTTTTGGAGGGGGAGTTACTCCACCTACACATTAGCTACTTCAAGCCACTTCATTTCATTTAGAAAGATTTACAAGATTTCTGAAAAAAAAAAAAAATACAGGAACAAAACCTACGTACATCTAATTTGACCAAATAACAAATGAGTGCATCGACTGAGCAAAGTCAACCATTCTTCCTTTCAAGATTAACACCACTAAATGAAGAAGAAAAGAATAATTTACCCTGAACTACCACTTCGTCCCATGGAAAAGCTTCCATAGGCCCCATAAGCACTACCACCACCACCAATCTACAAAGGAAAAGCTTGGCTTCAGTTGCAAATTAGAAATCTCGGCATTAAATTTGGATCAATAATAGGTAAATGATCATGGCAAAAAAAAAAAAAAAAAAAAAAAAAAAAAAAAAAAAAAAAAAAAAAAAAAAAAAAAAAAAAANACAGTTACTGTGTAGGCAATGAATGAATGGGCATAGGGAAGATGAGCAATAATTGAAGAGAGGGGTTGGTTTAGTCCTTACTCCTCTGCAAAGAGATAGAGATGAGTAGTAAATGGGAAGAATGTTGGCAATAATGAAGCATTGGTTTTTGGTTTTAATATGGGGGATTATATAAGTAGGGAAGTGGCATATAATTGGAGGGAGTATTATGGGGCAATGAGAGGGAAATGGGGGACATGGACATACCCATGCATCATTCTTCTCTTGCAACCACAAATAATTGAAGTTTGAGGGACCAATTGGAAGGAAGGTTATAGGAATTTAGAAACCTATAGATATATAAATCGAAAGAAAAAAAAAAAAAAAAAAAAAGAAAAGAAAAAATCTTCGCTTAAAGGTGCACAACTGAAATAATTTCAAAACCTTGTCTGCAAATTAGCCTTCTAAAAGCAGAAGGATACATTTTCACCATCTCTAAAATTAGACATGTCAAGGTTAATATACATACCTGTGAGCCACTGTAACTTCCATAACCATCACCAGCAGCCAAATCCGTGAAACCCCCATAACTACTAGAATAAGAATGCCCACGCCCATGTCTTTTGCCTTCTCTACCATCATATAGACTTTCTGAACCATCAGCTGATAGAGGAAGATACGGCAGAACAGGCAGAACAGCTGAGAGAGCACCTTCTCTATCAAAAAGGTTGGCTCTCAACCTGGTCACTATATGAACAAGAGCCTCCTTGGCAACATCAAGATCCCCGGATATCTAATCAGAAAAACAATACAATTAACCGAACGCAAACACAAGCAATACGGAATACAAGGGAGAGTTCATCATAACAGGAAAATTAATATAAATCAATTAACAGCCACTACCTGCACCATTTCATCATCTTCCAAGGCAACCTTGGGGAGGTTTTCCTTTGACAGTATTCGAATATTAGCTTTGGTGAGCCTTCTCAACTCGGTAATGATAGCTCCACCTTTACCAATTAGGCAACCAATTCGTGAGGTAGGCACAAGCAGACGGGTTGTGAATGAAATAATTCCAGAATCTCTTTCTACTTTCTCACTGCACCTTGGTTGCAAGCGCAATGCAGCTTCCAGCGTGGGAGAATATGAATCTTCAAAGAACTGAAACATTATACAATAAAACTGTCAGAAGTATGATCCACAGCCAACAATAGACAAAGTTATAAAAGCTTAGATTAGACCTCCTTTGATGATATATTTATCAAACAATCATCTTCTTCAGTAGCTGAACTATCAACTTTTATGGCAGCCTTAGTCTCCTGTCTAATCTGATTGATTACAGCTCCACCTTTGCCAATGACACCTCCAATGTTTTCGGTTGGACATATCAATCGAAGAGAAAATTCTTTTGAAGATAATTCTTCCCTTGGAGCTGAATATAAAGACCTGGACCAATTACCACTGTCCCCTTTATAACCTCCATATGGACTGACCAAAGGAGCTAAACCCATAATTGGAGCACCATGTGTAGAAGCCACAAGCGAACCACCAGAAGGATATACACCAGGTATGGCAGAAGCAAGTAGATGCTGAGATCGTGAAGGATTTTCATGCAGTCGAGATGCAATCTGGTATAAGGCTTTCTCCACAATCGGGGGTTCACCAGATATCTGAAACACAACTAAATTAAAATGCTACAACAGAAAAAAAAGCATGAACTTAAAAAAACTCAGAAATGCAAACAATAAAATTTAGTGAAAGCCATCCACTTACCTGCACAAGTTCATCAGAACTCAGAGCACAACGGGGTAAATGATCATCCTTAAGAATGCGAATCAGGGCCCCAGTCTCAGTGCGAATATTCTGGACAATCTGCCCACCTTTCCCAATAATACAACCAATTTGATCAGAGGGTACAAGAAGTCTAGCTGTAACCTGGTGACTTCCTCCTTCAGATTCCTCGCCCATTAGGTCATCGGCCACAACTCTATGGTGGACTTTGAACAAAGCCTGCTGAGCTGGAGAACTATAATCACTACTTTCTTCCAAAGCATTAGCCTCATTGCTTGCGCTGTAGATTGTTATGACACGCTCATCAGATCCAGGCACTGTTTCTCCAATTCTAATCTTTGATTTAGTATCTATCCTTAACTGCTTCACTATCTCACCTCCCCTTCCAATAACACTTCCAATCTTTTTAACAGGGCACAAATACCGGTAAACAGTATCTTCTGGATCTATAATAAACTGGTCCCGGTCCTCACCATGACTTCTTCTTTTGTTCCCTCCATTTTCAGAATAATCAGACTGAGAACGATTACGCTTTGCGTAACTATTCCTCTGACCAGCCATGAACTTAAAAACTGGTTATATCTGTCTACACACATAAAAAAAACGGAAGATGTGAGTAAACCAGAAATTAAAAGACAACAGAGAACACAAACAGCCATAACATATCCCAGCTAAATCATAATTTGAACATATATGCTACACATCACATGTGCGTAAAACACACCACAAGAAAATGGTCCAATATCAGTAATAATACACATCTAAGGAAGCAGCTTGCTCAGTAAAAATCTCAAAAAACTCAAGTTTCAGGCCAATAATAAGAAAAGAGAACCAGTTATAGCATAAATATATTAGTTAATACTAGGTTTATACCATAAACCGGTATTAAATGTTAACCCCATACTGCACAACAAGACGGCTGGTTATAACAAAACTCTAGGAAATAGGAAACAATATATTCAAGGAATTACGCAAGATTGTAGGTCGCTACTTTCATGACAGAAATTCGTTTTCTTTCTGCAGGAACGACAATTTCTAGCCTTCTTTCGACGTCTATAAGAAACTTTGTTCCCGAGCAGTGCTCTTGTTAAATTAGCGAAAAGCAGGAAAACAATTTCGGAAAAAGTAAAACTAACCAACTGCAACAGGCTATAAGAAAGCAAGTTTAGATCTCGATTCGTCCGCACCATCAGTCCCGCGTAATTACAGCGAGACAATGAATACAACCATAACGCAAAAGGATCGCAGAATTGAGCAACACGAATGAAACAATCGGTACCGAAAACAGAATCCAAAATCCGGAACGGGAAAGACGTAGAAATTAAGAAATTTACAAGCTAAAGATAATGAATCAACCTGAAAATTGTCAGATAATGAAGAAAAACGAGGGCAATGGAAGGCGAAGACCGATTGCGCGCAATCGAGAGTTTTAGGAACGATCGTTGATTCTCGGGACTTACTTTCTGTGACGGAGTCTAGGGTTTTGATTTTTCTTTCGCTAAATTGCACTTTGCCACGAAAATATTTGGAATTGATTTTCTTTCGCAACTAATTTTAGCTAATCTACCTGTATTTTAATAAAAATAAGAATATAAAAAATATCTGTAACCCTAATTTTAATTAAACTATAAATTAACCATTAAATAACTTTAATAAAAAATAAATTTAATTGCTATTTTTCTTTGAATTTTTATTAATTTTGTACCATATATTATAATTAAATGGAATTTATATCTTAAAAAGTTGTAAATCAATAATATTTTGATTAATTTGATTGTTTAAACAGTCTAGTTGGCATCCAATTTTTAATTATTAAAATTAATAGAACGGTCCAATCTTAATTTTAAACAAAAAAAATTCAAATCAACTCGATCAAATTATAGACGTTTGATATTTTGTAAGTACTGATCATCATTTGAAGGCTAATTAATGAATTAATGTACTGAAATAAGAACAATAATCATGAATAATTCTATATATATATATAAATATAGATGTTATATTGTATTTTTAATATATTTATTTTAACTTCACCGTTTCAAGGATCATTATATTTTTACAGTCACATTTAAACGAAAAATTTTCACCTTTCACCCTATGTAAAGCGGGTCCATGTAGGACTCCAACCTAATCAAATGGACATTTGTACTACTACGTTATTAAAATTAAAAACAAAAGACAAATTATACTTTTAACTAATGGGTTGTTCATGGTTTTCAAACACCAATTTGATTCCGAGTAAACCCATCATAATTTTTAATGAGGTAGGTGACAACCTATATTTATGATGGTGGGTGAGGATCCGAAGATTTTAAATATCTACAATATACGATAATATTGCCATAAACATTAATTAATAAATATATAATTGTTTTTATTTTTATGTATTTAAATAAATATAAAAAAAAATTACAATGCTTTCATCTAAGTTTAATTGGTTTAAAAATACTTTTAAAAAATGATTTAGAAGAAGATTATTATAGAATTGAAAATGGGACATTGAGACGAGACGAACAAAATCGTCACATTTCAAACATGAAAACAAATAATTAAAGTTTTATCATATAGTTAATAATTTGTCGTGAATGAATTCATGAAGGCAATATGGAGAATTAAATTGAATTTTGTAAAGGTGTTTGGTCACTTTGGAAAACCTACCAAAAATAATAAAACAAAAGAGTACCAACAAACAGCTATATGGTTCCATTAAATTGGGAGGACCTTCATGGTTTCTCAACCACTCACATTAATTTATCATTTATAAATTAATTCTTAAAATAAAATAAAAAAATGTTCCAAATATATTTAAATTTGATTTTCACCCCAAAATTATGATTTTATTGCAGCCTTACCACAAAATAATAATAATAATAATAAATAAGAAATTTTTAAAAAATTTATGGAAGCCTATTGGGTAGGTTTTCAAATTTGGTCACGGTTGGTTATGCAAGTGGGTGAGTCCCCCACCCAACTTGGGTTCGAGCCCAATACCAATCATATCACAAATGAAAAATAAATTTATTATTGTAAATATAATTTTTTTTATTATTTTGTTTTGTTTTTGTTTTCATTTTTATGTTTCTATATTAAACATTTGACTCCTGAATTAAATTTAAAATATAAAAACCAATTTTTTTTTGTAATTTACAAAAATGTGTGTTTTTTTTTTTGGTAATGGTTTAAAAGTCCGCTTTAAATGCTTTATTAACTTAATCGCCAATTAATAATTAAAATGGTTAAAATTATTTACAAGTTTTAAAAAATAAATATAAAAATGGTTTAAAAACAATAAATTGATGAAATAATCGATTATATTAATACCATTTTATATTATTATAAAGGATGGACTATAAAGTTAAATTTTGTAATTTGCGTTGACATGTGACAAAAAAATATATAACTATTTAATAATATAGTAGAAATTGTATTGTATTTTTATATAATAATATCAAAAAAAAAAAAAAAAAAAAGAAAAAGGGAGCACCGACACCTTCTTTATAATTACAACATTAATTAAAACAAAAAACAAGGGAACAGAGAAAGTACCTGTTTGAGTAATGCTTTTGGATTTCTTTTACAATTCTATTTAAAATTTTTTTTTCTATAAAAAAAAAAGTACATATTACGAAAAAGAAACTAAAATGACATATCTAACCTCCTGTGTGTGTGTGTGTGCGCGCAATAAATAAGCTCAATTTATTTATTTACCTCAAATTTGTGTAATGATTATTTTTCCTTCATTTGGGGTTATTTATAAATTGAAAGGGTATTTTGGTAAAGTGATTTGGATTAAACATCTGCATCAATTTCCCCCATTAAGTTGATCAATTTGGGATATTTATGATATGAATTGTCATTATCCGATTTATATAAATAATATATATTATTATTATTATTATTTTTATATGCTACATAAAACTACATTTTACCTAATATCCTAATCCACCGGCATCTGGACAGAATGCCTTTAAATTATGCTTAAATTGCAAGATAAATAATTTATTATTATTCTTTTTAAATTCAAGCTTGCTTAGTTTTTTTTTAGATTTTAACTAATTTTAAAATATTAAAAATTATTTTTGAGAAATTCCTTTTTTATTTTAGATCGGAGGAAAATTCAGTATCCATGGACCAACTAGGGAACATAAATGGTCCATATATTTCTAGTATCAATCATGAAATTTAATTAGTTCGAGAGGGGTATTATAGTAATTACGATAGATACGATTTTGGGAACAAGATGACTAGATTTCTGATTTTAATTCTCGATAATTTCTTATCAGAAAATAGAACGAAATAAGATTTTGATTCTATTGATTCGAGTTTAATAAATATTTGTTTGAATTTGTGTGGAGTAAATGGGGCCTTAAGAAAGACGTGTCTATAAAATGTCGAAAAAGAGGCGTTAATAGAAGGGGGATACAGCTATGGGCGTGTAATAAATAAGGGAAGGAGGCATTTAATAATAATGCACGTCAAATGGTAGAACATAGTCCATGTGCCTCTATCCCATCACTCATCTCTCTTTCACCCTTCCCTAATCAAACCCCACCTTTCACGTCTCGATTCCGTTTTTTCAATCGAGTCTTAAATATAACTCAATTGGTTAATTATGGTGTGTTGTCATGACGTTTGAAATCTCAATAACGTCCATTAGATTTATATAATATAACAAACGGTGTGTACTAACTTGACCATGACGTCCATGTCCACGCCCTCTATTTATTACCCTTTCAAGTCCCTCTTGTTTTCTTCATTTCCTCAAACCAATTCCATCTGACTCTGTTTTGGCAAATAAAATTCTGGCACTGAATGGCTTCATTGGGGATCATAATCCTCTTAGTGGGTGTTTCTTGGACGGTGTCGTGTGTTAATGGCGATTATGGGGGTTGGATCAACGCGCACGCCACTTTCTATGGTGGCAGTGATGCATCTGGGACAATGGGTTTGTTTTTGGTTATGATTAATGATGCCAATTAGTAAGAATTCAATGGTTTACTAATGTTGTTTGTTGTTGTTGTAACAGGGGGGGCTTGTGGGTATGGAAATTTATACAGCCAAGGGTATGGAACCAACACTGCAGCGCTAAGCACGGCGCTGTTTGACAATGGCCTTAGCTGTGGCGCTTGCTTTGAGCTGCGCTGTGTCAACGACCCACAGTGGTGTATTCCAGGCACTATTGTTGTCACTGCCACTAACTTCTGCCCTCCTGGCGGCTGGTGCGACCCTCCCAACCACCATTTCGACCTGTCTCAGCCTATCTTCCAACACATTGCTCAATATCGTGCCGGAATTGTCCCCGTGGCTTACCGCAGGTACTCCAGTGGTGTAACTCGTAAAGATTACTTCAGAATTTTAATTATAAACGTGAATTTTGCAGGGTAAGGTGCAGAAGAAGTGGGGGGATAAGATTTACAATCAACGGCCATTCATATTTCAATTTGGTACTAGTGACCAACGTGGGGGGTGCTGGAGATATACATTCAGTAGCGATTAAGGGCTCGAGGACCCGATGGCAACCCATGTCAAGAAATTGGGGCCAAAATTGGCAGTCCAACTCTTATCTGAACGGACAGAGTCTCTCCTTTCTGGTAACAGCCAGCGACGGGCGACAAGTGCTGTCCTACAACGTGGCTCCCTCCGGCTGGTCCTTCGGACAGACATACGTGGGCGCACAGTTCCGCTATTAATTCAACCTTTTTACATATACATGCATATGCTGATATCTACCAAGCGAGCGAGAGAAAGAAAAAAAAAAAAAAAATTAAAACAGAATCAAGAATATTCCAATCCCCCAAATGCCAAAAAGGGTTTTATGATTTAAAAAGATTGCCCTTTTTGGTTTTTTTAGCTGTTCAGTTGATGGGGTTGAAGGGTTTGTTTGTTTGGCTGCTGAATTATAATATAAAACAATATATATTTCCCTATATATATATATATAATTAAATAGTTAAAAAGAATAATAATATTTTGTTCCTCTGTTGTTTCTGCATTTTCCCAGCCATTTCTCTTTCTTTCTTTTTATATATATATATATATATATATATATATTTTTGTTGGATGATAAAAGTCATGCCGCTGATTTAAGAAATGATCATGAATTTAAGAAATGATAATGAATTTATAAACAAATAATACTCTTTCCATTGTATGAGGTATTTTGGGGAAGCCCAAAACAAAGCCACGAGAGCTTAGGCTCAAAGTGGACAATATCATACCATTGTGGAGAGTCGTGTTCGTCTAATATGGTATCAGAGTCATGCCAATAGATTGGTAAATACTCAAATGTCGAATGAAGGACTCCAAAAGAAAAGGAGTCAGGCCCATTGTGGAGAGTCGTGTTCGTCTAACATGGTATCAAAGTCATGCGGTAAACTTAGTCGTGTCAATAGATTGATAAATCCTCAAATGTCGAACAAAGGACTCCAAAAGAAAAGGAGTCAGGCCCATTGTGGAGAGTCGTGTTCGTCTAACATGGTATTATAGTCATGCCCTAAACTTAGTCGTGTCAATAGATTGGTAAATCCTCAAATGTCGAACAAAGGATTAAAAAAAAAAGGAGTCAGGCCTCCTCGAAGGCAGTCAAAATGACTAAAACTCCCACATCAGCTAATTTAGGGAATGATGATTGGAGTCAAGCCTTGATTCAGGAGAGGGGTTGGATGATGAAAGTAGGGAATGATCACTAGAGTCGAGTCTCGATTAAGGGTAGGGAATGATCACGAGTTTATAAACAAAGAAGAACTTATACTGAAAGTGGAGAAACCATTGTTGAGAGTCGTGTTCGTCTAATATATATATATATATATATAGAAATCAATATTTATGAAAAATTTTAAGCACCGACACTTATTATTAGAGTTGGTATAAGGAACAAAGTAATTGGATTATATATAAAAATTACAGAGATGAATAGGATGGGCCAAAATTTCAAAGCCATTTACGCCCAGAAAACAAGAACACGAAGGGGCAAAAGGCTTGAATTTCGACCACTATGAGAAATTAAATAAATAAATTAATTAATAAACAGCAGACTCCATTAATTTAACAAATTCCTGAAAATCAATTCTGCCATCGTTGTTCTCATCAAACTTGTTAATCATCCTCCTGCAATTCTGAATCGCCTCTCCTTCTTTGAACCCCAAAACGCATAGCACTCTCTGCAACTCATCACCGTCGATGAACCCATCGCTATTAACATCAAACACATCGAAGGCTTCCTTCACCTCCGCCGCACTCGCCGCCGTTTGATCGAAAATCCTACACATCTCTTCCATCGACGCAAACCCAGGAAGCGATTCCTCCGTCTCTTCCTCCGAAGAAAGCCCCAATTCCCCCATCACCCATTTCATTTCCTCTCTGCTAACCCTCTCGCCGCCCTCATCCCTCTGTTCCGATTTAGCCGTTTCAGAAGCCGGTAAACTCCACTGCTTTCGTTTTCCGGTAGCGAAGGCGTAGAGCCAAGAGCCCAGTTTCTGAAAACGAAAGCAGTCGATCATTATAAGGAATCGGAAAGAGGGGATTGCTGGGATTGTGTTGCCGTCCATTGAAACGTTGCAGAGACCAAACTCCTCCGGTGATTGAATGAGGGGTTCAATCGGATGCGTGGGGTATTTGAAGCCCTGTTTGCGCGTAATGGTTTGAACGATCAAGGAAACAGAGGAATTGGGGTTTGGTATAAAGTCAAAAAGATGTTAAATTTAATTACTGAAATGTTGAATCAATGGAGAGCCGTTGCAACCAGGAAGGTTCGTTTCATAATTGCGGCCTTTCTGGGAAATTGTGTGTGGATTTGGTAATTATGTTGGACAAAATGGTCAACCAATTCATTTTTTTATTACATTTTTAATTATATTCTTTGTCTTCTTCTTCTTCTTCCCACTAAATTGGCGGCCAAATTATATTAAATAATAAATAAATTATACTATGAGTCGAAAACCTTAATAAATAGTTGAATAGGGAGAGAGTTTTAAAGTTCAAGGTCCATGCTAGTGCATGGTTTATAGTTATACGAGAACAATACTTACTGTGTTCAGCTCATTGCACTGTGCTCGTTACATAGACTACACTTATACTTGGAGTATACTGTGTTCAATTCATTACATAGACTGCACTTATACTTAAAGTACACTGTGTTTAGCATATTACATGGATTACACTTTAATAGAGTGAGGTCCTCCAGGAATGTTAGCTCCTGGTGGGCGGTAGTCTGTTACGTCAACCATCTTTCTTGATTTCTCGTCCTACAAAAACATAACATAATAATCAAGCACATTTCACACAAAATCCAACAATTCTTGATTTCTCGTCCTACAAAAACATAACATAATAATCAAGCACATTTCACACAAAATCCAACAAAAACTCTGCTCATTGTTAAGCTCATTGCATGGATTACATTTGAGAAGTGAGGTCCTCCAGGAATGTTAGCTCCTGGTGGGCGGTAGTCTGTTACGTCAACCATCTTTCTTGATTTCTCGTCCTACAAAAACATAACATAATAATCAGCGGTAGTCTGTTACGTCAACCATCTTTCTTGATTTCTCGTCCTACAAAAACATAACATAATAATCAAGCACATTTCACACAAAATCCCATCTTTCTTGATTTCTCGTCCTACAAAAACATAACATAATAATCAAGCACATTTCACACAAAATCTAACAAAAACTCTGCTCATTGCATGGATTACATTTGAGAAGTGAGGTCCTCCAGGAATGTTAGCTCCTGGTGGGCGGTAGTCTGTTACGTCAACCATCTTTCTTGATTTCTCGTCCTACAAAAACATAACATAATAATCAAGCACATTTCACACAAAATCTAACAAAAACTCTGCTCATTGCATGGATTACATTTGAGAAGTGAGGTCCTCCAGGAATGTTAGCTCCTGGTGGTCGGTAGTCTGTTACGTCAACCATCTTTCTTGATTTCTCGTCCTACAAAAAAATAATATAATAATCAAACACACTTGACACAACATCCAACCTTCTCTACTCACTGTAAAGCTCATTGCATGGTTTACATTTGAGTAGTGAAGTCCTTCAGGAATACTAGGTCCTGTTGGTAGATAGTCGTTTACGTCAACCATCTTTCTTGATTTCTCGTCCTACAAAAACATAACATAATAATCAAGCACACTTCACACAAAATCCAACCAAACTCCGCTCACTGTTAAGCTCATTGCATGGAGTACATTTGAGAAGTGAGGTCCTCCAGGAATGTTAGCTCCCGGTGGTCGGTAGTCTGTTACGTCAACCATCTTTCTTGATTTCTCGTCCTACAAAAACATAACATAATAATCAAGCACAGTTCACACAGTCAACCATCTTTCTTGATTTCTCGTCCTACAAAAACATAACATAATAATCAAGCACAGTTCACACAAAATCCAACAAAAACTCTGCTCATTGTTAAGCTCATTGCATGGATTACATTTGAGAAGTGAGGTCCTCCAGGAATGTTAGCTCCCGGTGGTCGGTAGTCTGTTACGTCAACCATCTTTCTTGATTTCTCGTCCTACAAAAACATAACATAATAATCAAGCATATTTCACACAAAATCCAACCAAAACTCTGCTCATTGTTAAGCTCGTTGCATGGATTACATTTGAGAAGTGAGGTCCTCCAGGAATGTTAGCTCCCGGTGGTCGGTAGTCTGTTACGTCAACCATCTTTCTTGATTTCTCGTCCTACAAAAACATAACATAATAATCAAGCATATTTCACACAAAATCCAACCAAAACTCTGCTCATTGTTAAACTCGTTGCATGGATTACATTTGAGAAGTGAGGTCCTCCAGGAATGTTAGCTCCTGGTGGTCGGTAGTCTGTTACGTCAACCATCTTTCTTGATTTCTCTTCCTAAAAAAAAACAACATAATAATCAAACACACTTCACACAAAATCCAACCATAACTCTGCACTCATTTACCTTTAGTGAACCAAACAAGCTTGCATCTTTCACGCCTATTCCCATCGCTTCTGCGCCATATGCTTCAAACATGTCATACAAAGGTTCGTAAGTCAATAAGATGGCATGAAAATACGAGAAGAATGTGAGAAAACAAGGACGAAGATTACCCGGAGACAGCACGAGTACGAGAAAGCATGAAAGGAGGAGCACTGACAGAGGTGTATTGCTACCCATTTCTTGGAGAAGATTATCCAAATGGATTGAGTTCGATAACACAATGAAACTGCTTGGTCCTTCACACTTCATATCAAACCCTATTTATAACGTCCGATTATAACGTACCATGCAACTTGTTTTCTATTACCATATATATTCATGGGGAGGTACATTGCACCCACAATATTTTATATATTTATGAAAAAAAATCCGTGTAAACTATTACATGCATTGGCTACGCGCTTGAAAATTAATAATTGGTAGTCGCATAACTTATTTCAACGATAATTCGATATTATCAATACTTTAGATACGAACTAACTTTGTTCTTTATATTTATTTTATAAAGAAGATAAATGAATATGGATTATATAATAAGAAACTCAATTTATTTTCAATTTATCCATATAAGGTAGTTAAAATGACATTTGTTATTTTAGAGAGAGAAAGAACTAGAATGTTGGATAGGCATTTTGCAGTGTATTAATTGTAGTCTTCTCTGCATGGATTACACTTGGAATCAATTTGAAAAACACAGAAATTTTATGAAACGATTAAATGAATCTGAAAACATCATGAATAATAATTAATTACGTGTCTTAAGATTATAATAATCCTTTAAATTAGAATATTAATTAATAATTGAGGTAAAGAAAAAAGAGGTGGGCCAAGGCCCATGGAGTGACCCACCAAATCATTCAAAGCCCATAAGCCCAAGGAAGTATATTTTATTTCATTTTCAGCGTATAATCACGCTTTCACTTCGATTGAGGAGTTGGATTGGTTTAGGTGCCGACAAAATTTTTGGGTTTTCTTTTTTAACTTCAATTCATAATATCTTTCTTGTCTGTTAAATCAATTGCACTAGAAAAACAAGACAATTCATTAAAGAAGTAGACATTATTAAACTAATAGTCTAAGCTAACCATTTCAACCCTAAAGAAATGGTCTAATATGATCGGTAGAACCATTTCAACCCTAAATAAATGGTCTAATATGACCCGTAGAATATGATCTGTGTTTGATTGAATCGGGTAGTTTAACCGCGGTTGGATTGGAATTTGGTTTGAGATGGTCAATTTCCCATACTCGATCCGGTCTGCAAGTCGGTTGACCAACCAACCATTATGGGTTTGTATTGCCGTCCATTGAACCGTTGGAGAGACCGTTGGGCAAAGTAGTCAACGGATTAATTTTTTACTATATTTTTAATTATAATCTTCTTCTAATTGCACCTAAATTCGCGGCAAAATTATATGAAATAATAAATTAATTATACGAATCTAATGTAATGTATATAGAGGAGAGTAATTAAAAACTGAGTTGAAAAGCTTAATGAGTATTTAAATAAAGATTAAAATTAAGGTTCATTCCGGTGCATGAATTATTATACTTGAACATGAATTATTATACTTGAACATAAACACAGAACAACATTTATAATAATGCATTGTTCAGCTATTACATGCATTATATTAGAACACTTCTTATTCAGCTATTACATGCATTACATTTTAATAGAGTGAGGTCCTCCAGGAATATTAGATCTTGTTCGTCGATAGTCTGTTACGTCAATCATATTTCTAGATTGCTCGTCCTACAAAAAAAATAACATAATAATCAAACACACTTCACACAAAATTCAACCTAAACTCTGCTTATTGCATGGATTACATTTGAGTAGTGAGGTCCTCCAGGAATGTTAGGCCCTGTTCGTCGATAGTCTGTTACGTCAATCATTTTTCCTGATTTCTCGTCCTACAAAAAACAACATAATAATCAAACACACTTCACACAAAATCTAAACAAAACTCTGCGCATTGTTGAGCTCATGGCCTGGTTTACATTCGAGTAGTGAGGTCCTCCAGGAATATTAGGTCCGGTTCGTCGATAGTCTGTTACGTCAATCATGTTTCTTGATTTCTCTTCCTACAAAAAAAACAACATAATAATCAAACGCACTTCGCACAAAATCCAACCAAAACTCTTGCTCGCTGTTAAGCTCATTTTATGGATTACATTTGAGTATGAGGTTCTCCAGGAATGTTAGGCCCTGTTCGTCGATAGTCTGTTACGTCAATCATCGATTCTGCGCCATATGCTTCAAACATGTCCAACAAAGGTTAGTAAGTCAATAAGATGGCACGAAAATATGAGAAGAATGTGATAAAACAAGGAAAAAGATTACCAGGAGACAGCACGAGTAGGAGAAAGCATGAAAGGAGGAGCACTGGCAGAGGTGTAGAGCTACTCATTTCTTGGAGAGGATTATCCAAATGTGTTGAGTTTGATAACACAATGGAACTGTTTGGTCCTTCACGCTTCATATCAAACCCTATTTATAACGTCTGCTCGTCACATACCATGCAACTTTCTTTCTACTACCATATATATTCATGGGGAGGTACAGTGCACCCACAATATTTTATATATTTATGTAAAAGAATCAGTGTAAAATTACCGAATATAATTTGTAAAAGTAAACGGAGTAGATAAGATTTAAAACCATACGTCGGCTACGCTTGAAAAATAAAATCGCATAACCTATTCCAACAATAATACGATATTATCAATACTCTAACTACGAGGTAGCTTTCTGGTTTTACCCGTATAAATAAAATAAATTATATAACTTCTTTATATTTATTTTATAAATAAGATAAATGAATATGAATTATAGTGATTTATAGTCTTCTGTGCATGGATTACACTTGGAATCAATTTGGAAAACACGGAAATTCATATAACGTTGAAATTGTTAGGATCGATACCAGTTGTTAGCTCGGATACTAATTGTTAGGATTACTCAACGACACACACTCGATCAAGATGAACACAAAGAACAACAAAAAAAATACAAAGAAGGAATATTGGCTAAAAATTTTATGTCGATGACTTCAAGTATGTACAGAAAAAGGGAGAGAGTACAACCCTACTGAGTATATATATGGTTTTAATTTACTAAATCTAGCTCTCAAAAACATATAATTTAATAAATATATCTATATCAAATATCTACCATATATCTCTGTCTCATCTTTACGAAATATTTTCTAAATATATTTACAAATATCTTTCAAATATATTTCTACAAGGCTTCATATATCATGAATAATAATTAATTATTACGTGTCTTAAGATTATAATAATCCTTTAAATTAGAATATTAATTAATTAATTAATAATGGAGGTAAATAAAAAAGAGGTGGGCCAAGGCCCATAGAGCGTCCCACCAAATCATTACCACATCATAAAAGGAGAAATCCGAAGCCCATAGCGTTACAAATTAATGAATTCAGCAAAGAAAAAAAATAACAAACTCAAAAATTAACTGCTAAAATGTTTAATGTGGTTCGTAGGTTTGTGAAAAACTGAATTGGTTGTTATATGCAATGACAACAACTCTAAGAATCGAGTTCTTGATTCCTTTAAAGAAGTTTTAGAGGATAACCCGAACAAGGATATCTCATCACTTTAGCTAGTAGTCTTATGTTGCGTTTGTGAAGATCTTGTTTACGATCAAGTAGAAGCCGTTGGAAGGGAAAATAGGTCGACATGATCTTCTAATAGAGGCATGTACCAAAGATCGTTGTTAGTGATAGTGAAGAGAGATCTTTTAACTTTAGAGCTTGCTCATTGTCTAATTATTCCATCACTGAATCGTGTAAAGATGTGAAAAAAAAATACGAACATCTTGAGCATGCCACCTTTGAGCTTTGGTGAGAAATTTGAAGATGCTCATAACGTAGTCTTGATATTGGACGATCGACAACCGTGCTAACCACAATTTTCAATCTAGGAAAATGATTAAGAATATGTGTAGGCAATTCAAGACCCAGATTGAGTTTAGGAGGCTACTTGTCGGTGACGAAATATTAATTGCTCGCCACAAACATCTGGATAATGAATATGTTCTAGGTGAATCGAGTACAATTGTGATAGATACTAAAAATTAAAACTTTTGAGATGTGGGCTTAAAATGATGATATATTGATCTCAATTCATCCCAAGTTCTCTGTTCCAATCTCTATCATTTCTGTTCTTCCTCTTCTTCTGTTCTGATACCATGTTAAGGATGAGAAACAAAAGTCGACTTCGCCCTCTTCTTTTGTTCTATTGAAACATTGCAAAGACCAAACTCCTCTAGCGACTGAACGCGGGATTTGGTAATTATGTTGGACAAAGTGGTCAACCGAATTACTTTTTATTACATTTTTAATTATATTCTTCGTCCTCGCCTATCTTCTTCCCACGAAATTGGCAGCCAAATTTATATTAAATAAGAAATTAATTATAGTAGGAGTCGAAAAGCTTAGGAGAGAGTTTAAAGTTAAAAGGTCCATGCAGACGCATGGATTATTATTATATTTGGACACATAGAGACAACAACACTAAGAACGTACATTTCAACTCATTCCATAGAAGTAAAGAGAGGGGCTTAAGAGAGTTATATAGTAGTTATAAACAGCGAAGGTACGATCCATCCATGAAATGACGAGGTCGAGTTCATGGAGAAGTGGCGTGGAATAAAGGTCCTCCAGGAATATTAGCTCCAGTACTTCGATAGTCGTTTACATCAACAACCAACTTTCTCGATTTTCCTACCTAAAAAAAAAAAACAACATAATAATCAAACACACTCGACACAAAATCCAACCAAAACTCTACACTTACATACCTTTAGCGGAGCAAACAAGCCTGCATCTTTCACGCCTATTCCCATCACCTCTTCGCCTTTTGCTTCAAAAATGTCGAACAAAGATTAGTAAGTCAATAAGATGAGTCGAAGATACGAGAAGAATAAGAGAAAACAGAGTACCAGAAGTGAGCAAGAGAACAAGAAAGCATGAAAGGAGAAGCATGGACAGAGGTTTAGAGCTACCCATTTTTGTGAGAGGATTATCAAAATGGACTGTCCTTCACAGATCAGATGGAACCCAATTTATAATGTCCGACCATGCAACTTTGTTTGTTGGTATTATCACATATATTCATGAGCAGTTATAACGCGTCGAAAATGAGTTATAATTGCATAATCTATCTCTACAGTAATACGATATTATCCATTATATAAAAATTGAAAATAGCATTGAAATTCAAATATTCATGGTGATCTAAAGAACTAGAATGTTGAAAGAAGGTTTGGATAAGATATACATAAATTGGGAGAGTTGATGAGAAAGTCGAGGCATTTTGCATTGTCTCAGTTGAAGTCCTCCCCGCATGGATTACACTTGGAATGTGGTTGGAAAACACGTATCTTCATGGAAACATGAAATGAATCTAAATATGTTATAAATTGATAATATCTTCTAGTGTTATAAAACACTGAAATTAATTGCACAAGACAACTCATTAAAGAAATAGACATTATTAAATTAATGGTCTAAGCTAACCATTTCAACCCTAAAGAAATGGTCTAATATGACCTGCAGAATATGATATGTGTTCGATTGAATCGGTAAGTTTAACCGCGGTTGGATTGGAATTTGGTTTGAGCTGGTCTATTTCCCATACTCGATCCCGGTCTGCAAGTCGGTTCACCAACCAACCATTATGGGTTTGTATTGCCGTCCATTGAACCGTTGGAGAGACCTTACGTTGGGCAAAGTAGTCAACGGATTAATTTTTTACTATATTTTTAATTATAATCTTCTTTTAATTGCACCTAAATTCGGGGAGAAATTATATTAAATAATAAATTAATTATACTAATCTAATCTAATGTATATAGATGATAGTAATTATAAACGAGTTGAAAAGCTCAATGAGTACTTAAATAAGGATTAAAATTAAGGTCCATGCGCGTGCATGAATTATTATACTTGAAAATAAAGATAGAACAACACTTATAATGCATTGTTCAGCTATTACATGTATTACACTTTAATGAAGTGAGGTCCTCCAGGAATGTTAGGTCCTGTTGGTCGATAGTCGTTTACGTCAACCATCTTTCTTGATTTCTCGTCCTACAAAAAATAACATAATAATCAAACACACTTCACACAAAATCCAACCAAAACTCTGCTCACTGTAAAGCTCATTGCATGGATTACATTTGAGTAGTGAGGTCCTCCAGGAATGTTAGGTCCTGTTGGTCGATAGTCGTTTACGTCAACCATCTTTCTTGATTTCTCGTCCTACAAAAAATAACATAATAATCAAACACACTTTACACAAAATCCAACCAAAACTCTGCTCACTGTAAAGCTCATTGCATGGATTACATTTGAGTAGTGAGGTCCTCCAGGAATGTTAGGCCCGGTTGGTCGATAGTCGTTTACGTCAACCATCTTTCTTGATTTCTCGTCCTACAAAAAATAACATAATAATCAAACACACTTCACACAAAATCCAACCAAAACTCTGCTCACTGTAAAGCTCATTGCATGGATTACATTTGAGTAGTGAGGTCCTCCAGGAATGTTAGGTCCTGTTGGTCGATAGTCGTTTACGTCAACCATCTTTCTTGATTTCTCGTCCTACAAAAAATAACATAATAATCAAACACACTTCACACAAAATCCAACCAAAACTCTGCTCACTGTAAAGCTCATTGCATGGTTTACATTTGAGTAGTGAGGTCCTCCAAGAATATTAGGTCCTGTTGGTCGATAGTCGTTTACGTCAACCATCTTTCTTGATTTCTCGTCCTACAAAAAATAACATAATAATCAAACAAACTTCACACAAAATCCAACCAAAACTCTGCTCACTGTAAAGCAAAAAATAACATAATAATCAAACAAACTTCACACAAAATCCAACCAAAACTCTGCTCACTGTAAAGCTCATTGCATGGATTACATTTGAGTAATGAGGTCCTCCAGGAATGTTAGGTCCTGTTCGTCGATAGTCTGTTACGTCAACCATCTTTCTTGATTTCTCGTCCTACAAAAAATAACATAATAATCAAACAAACTTCACACAAAATCCAACCAAAACTCTGCTCACTGTAAAGCTCATTGCATGGATTACATTTGAGTAATGAGGTCCTCCAGGAATGTTAGGTCCTGTTCGTCGATAGTCTGTTACGTCAACCATCTTTCTTGATTTCTCGTCCTACAAAAAATAACATAATAATCAAACAAACTTCACACAAAATCCAACCAAAACTCTGCTCACTGTAAAGCTCATTGCATGGTTTACATTTGAGTAGTGAAGTCCTTCAGGAATACTAGGTCCTGTTGGTAGATAGTCGTTTACGTCAACCATCTTTCTTGATTTCTCGTCCTACAAAAAATAACATAATAATCAAACACACTTCACACAACATCCAACCATAACTCTGAACTCATTTACTTTTAGTGAACCGAACAAGCCTGCATCTTTCACTCCTATTCGCATCGCTTCTCCGCCATATGCTTCAAACATGTCCAACAAAGGTTAGTAAGTCAACAAGATGACACGAAAATATGAGAAGAATGTGATAAAACAAGGAAGAAGAGTACCAGGAGACAGCACGAGTACGAGAAAGCATGAAAGGAGGAGCACTGACAGAGGAGTAGAGCTACCCATTTCTTGGAGAGGATTATCAAAATCGATTGAGTTTGATAACACAATGAAACTGCTTGGTCCTTCACACTTCATATCAAACCCTATTTATAACGTCCGCTTATAACGTACCATGCAACTTTTTTGCTATTACCATATATATTCATGGGGAGGTACATTGCACCCACAATATTTTATATATTTATGAAAAAGAATTCCTGTAAAACTACTAAATATTCTTTGTAAAAGTAAACCGAAGAGATAAGATTTAAAATCATGGATCGACTACGTTTGAAAGATAAAATCGCATAACCTATTCCAACAATAATACGATATTATCAGTATTATCAATAAAGAAGTAGAATGTTAGGACCATTTTACAGTATTGAGTTGAAGTCTTTTGGGCATGAATTACACTTGGAATCAATTTGGAAAACACTGAAATTCATGAAAACATGAAATGAATTTGAAAATATCATGAATAAAACAGAACCTAAATATTAATTAATTACATGTTTTAAGATTATAATAATCCTTTAAATTAGAATATTATTTAACTAATTAATAATGGACGTAAAGGAAAAAGAGGTGGGCCAAGGCCCATGGAGTGTCCCACCAAATCATTCCCACATCATGAAGGAGAAATCCAAAGCCCAGAAGTCGAAGGAAGTAGCCCTTCTCGCAAGCTTTCCTTCATCCTCTGACTTTCACCATTGCCATTTTCCCAAAATTTTCAACCTTTTTTTCTTTCTTTTTCGTTTTCTTGTTCGTTTTCCTTCAGAGATGTGGCTTCGAACCTCCAAATCACGCTCTCTCCACTCTTTGCTTCCTCATTTTGTGCCTCCGTTTCTTTGGTTTTAATCTGTTCTGCCCCCATTAGCTCCTTTGTTTTTTGGGTTTAATCGCGCTTTCGATTCGATTGAGGAGTTGGATTGGTTTAGGCGCCGACAAATTTCTGGGTTTTTTTTTTTTTTTTTGGTAATACCCTCTTTTCGATTTGGATTTTCCCCCTGAGTTGTTCGATCTGATATCGGGGTCTGATTGATTGCTGGAGATGATCTGTGTTTGATTGAATCGGGTAGTTTCAATCGCTGTTTGATTGGAATTTGGTTTGAGATGGTCTATTTCCCATACTCGATCTCGGTCTGCAAGTCCGTTGACCAACCAACCACTATGGCGAGTTCAGTGAATTTAGCCGATTCGAGTTTCAAATCCAGGAACAAGAAGATGACTCCCTCATCGACTTGTTCGAAATTTCCCGTTTGTCATCGGTCTCGATCGGCCGTCATCGATATTGTGATTTTGATTGCTGTCGTTGGTGCTTGTGGGTTTTTGTTATTCCCTTATATGAAGCTTCTTATTGTTGAATCCCTCGAGATTTTCGGTGCGATTCTGTATTTAATGGGAGATGAAGTCTCTCGTGCTCCTTGGATTTATGGATCCATTGGACTTGGGATTTTCTGTGCTTTATTAGCTGCTTGGGTTGTTTTAATATGCACGAGCAGGAAATGTGGAAATCCCTATTGCAAGGGGCTTCGAAAGGCGGCTGAATTCGACATCCAATTGGAGACGGAGGAGTGCGTGAAGAACTCTACTCCAGTGGTTAAAAATGGCGTGAAGAAGGGGCTTTTTGAATTGCCCCGTGATCATCACCGCGAGTTAGAAGCTGAACTTAAGAAGATGGCACCTCCTAATGGAAGGGCAGTGCTCATATTTCGAGCAAGATGTGGCTGTTCTGTTGGTAGGTTGGAAGTTCCTGGGCCTAGGAAGCAGCTGAAGAAGATCAAGAAATAGTAGTATTAATAATAAATATTGTTTAAAGCTTATAGATAGGATATCATTACAGGTTTACTCAGTATGCAGAGAAGAATTTTCTTATTCTTGTGGAAAAAGATTAAGAACGTTCAATGTCTCTAAATAAGCTCATGGCAGTCAGGTGTAAGGAACATATACAGTTTTCAAGTAGGGAATATACAATCCTTGTTGCATCATCTCGATGTGCTCTCTTATTTCCATATGTCCTGCTCCTATTTACTTCTTCAATCCATTTGTTTTGTCTTTTTTTCTGTTCATACTCATGAATTACACTTTTAGTTGAAACATATGCATGTTGGTTGATCACGGCAGTATTATTAGACGATTCGAGTATTGTGTGGCTATGTGTGATTGTTAACTTGCAAATGGAAGAAGATCAGGCCTCTCCTCTAGATTTAGAGTCCTTGATGGATTACTTTGATTGTTGACTTGCAAAATATTAGTACCTGGCTTGTTTCATAACCCGCGGTCTGTTGCATCAGTGTCTGCTCGTCTCATTTTGATATCCCTAAGACGACATGGCTTTGTTTGATAGTATTTCTTTATTAGGCTTTCTGAAAGGTATGGTGTAGTCATTGTTACAAGGGTGAAGACAAGCTATGTTAACAGTTGTAGATATAGCATTTCTGCTGCTGCTGCTGATACCAACCATCCTAATCATATTAAAGAGCAGGTAGTGTTCTTCTTTTACTTTCTGAGCTTGCAAGTCCTGATGAGTCTTTTATCTCGAACCTATACGCTTTCCTTTCTACGTTGTGATGTCCCACATTGGTAAGGGTGTGGAAACCTTCCCCAAGCAGACGGCTTTTAAAGCCTTGAGGGGAGCCTGAAAGGGAAAGCCCAAAGAGGACAATATCTGCTAGCAGTGGATCTGGGTCGTTACATACGCAGAATCCATGTTTCATGTACTAAAATTCTCTTAATTCTCTTCACTTTTCTAAGAACTGAAACTCAGGTCATTCATGCATATTGCTTCTCTACTATCAAAGCTCATATTAAATATGGCTGGCAAACTCCATATGGGTCTATGTTCTGTGAAAACACTGATGTGCATCCAACTTAGGTTTTTGCGTTTGAAATCCTCTTTTAGGGACCTTTAGTTCTTGGAATTGGATTCCCTTTTGGATGTAAAATTATGGGTCGGACCAATTGGATCAAGAGGAAGGTCTCTGAGAACTGCTGCAATCTGGGCTGGTGTAAACTGAAAGGGAATCAGGCATCCTCCCTTCCATGTCTCATAGGGAAGAATGGACGAAAAGGGAAGAAATTTGATGCCCAGATACAACACCAGAATGCATTTTAATGAGATTGAAACATTTGTATGCAGGATTATAGGTCATTCTTGTAGCATCTTCGAAAGAAAGTTGGATCGTTGCATTTCAAATAGTTTGTTACTGAACTGGTTATACGTGCACTTCGACATTTGAGTTTAATCGGGTAATGATTGAATCCTACTACAAAATGAAATATATTATTGAAACTTTTAAAAGTTATAATTATCAATTTAGCCTGAGTGATGAGATGATCTTTAGCTATAAAAATTGAGTTCTTTTTCAACAAAATGGATGGTTTTTTTTTTTTATTCAATGGAGAAAAATCCGAGGCTATATTGATAAAAGCAAGACGTAAAAGCCCGGGCTCGCTGTTGAGAAGAAGCTGAAGTATCAACCAACAGAGTGGCCCTGGGCGGAGTGCTCGATGCTGTGCTCGCTTTAGAATGCAGTTTCATCCTTTGAGTCAACCGCGTTTTCTCCTTCCGGTCTTTGTAATTCATCCAATTTCAGGAGATTCGTCAGCTTCCTTATCTCTCGAGNAAATCCAACCAAAACTCTGCTCACTGTAAAGCTCATTGCATGGTTTACATTTGAGTAGTGAGGTCCTTCAGGAATATTAGGTCCTGTTGGTCGATAGTCGTTTACGTCAACCATCTTTCTTGATTTCTCGTCCTACAAAAAATAACATAATAATCAAACACACTTCACACAAAATCCAACCAAAACTCTGCTCACTGTAAAGCTCATTGCATGGATTACATTTGAGTAGTGAGGTCCTCCAGGAATGTTAGGTCCTGTTGGTCGATAGTCGTTTACGTCAACCATCTTTCTTGATTTCTCGTCCTACAAAAAATAACATAATAATCAAACACACTTCACACAAAATCCAACCAAAACTCTGCTCACTGTAAAGCTCATTGCATGGTTTACATTTGAGTAGTGAGGTCCTCCAGGAATGTTAGGTCCTGTTGGTCGATAGTCGTTTACGTCAACCATCTTTCTTGATTTCTCGTCCTACAAAAAATAACATAATAATCAAACACACTTCACACAAAATCCAACCAAAACTCTGCTCACTGTAAAGCTCATTGCATGGTTTACATTTGAGTAGTGAGGTCCTCCAAGAATATTAGGTCCTGTTGGTCGATAGTCGTTTACGTCAACCATCTTTCTTGATTTCTCGTCCTACAAAAAATAACATAATAATCAAACACACTTCACACAAAATCCAACCAAAACTCTGCTCACTGTAAAGCTCATTGCATGGTTTACATTTGAGTAGTGAGGTCCTCCAAGAATATTAGGTCCTGTTGGTCGATAGTCGTTTACGTCAACCATCTTTCTTGATTTCTCGTCCTACAAAAAATAACATAATAATCAAACAAACTTCACACAAAATCCAACCAAAACTCTGCTCACTGTAAAGCTCATTGCATGGTTTACATTTGAGTAGTGAAGTCCTTCAGGAATACTAGGTCCTGTTGGTAGATAGTCGTTTACGTCAACCATCTTTCTTGATTTCTCGTCCTACAAAAAATAACATAATAATCAAACACACTTCACACAACATCCAACCATAACTCTGAACTCATTTACTTTTAGTGAACCGAACAAGCCTGCATCTTTCACTCCTATTCGCATCGCTTCTCCGCCATATGCTTCAAACATGTCCAACAAAGGTTAGTAAGTCAACAAGATGACACGAAAATATGAGAAGAATGTGATAAAACAAGGAAGAAGAGTACCAGGAGACAGCACGAGTACGAGAAAGCATGAAAGGAGGAGCACTGACAGAGGAGTAGAGCTACCCATTTCTTGGAGAGGATTATCAAAATCGATTGAGTTTGATAACACAATGAAACTGCTTGGTCCTTCACACTTCATATCAAACCCTATTTATAACGTCCGCTTATAACGTACCATGCAACTTTTTTGCTATTACCATATATATTCATGGGGAGGTACATTGCACCCACAATATTTTATATATTTATGAAAAAGAATTCCTGTAAAACTACTAAATATTCTTTGTAAAAGTAAACCGAAGAGATAAGATTTAAAATCATGGATCGACTACGTTTGAAAGATAAAATCGCATAACCTATTCCAACAATAATACGATATTATCAGTATTATCAATAAAGAAGTAGAATGTTAGGACCATTTTACAGTATTGAGTTGAAGTCTTTTGGGCATGAATTACACTTGGAATCAATTTGGAAAACACTGAAATTCATGAAAACATGAAATGAATTTGAAAATATCATGAATAAAACAGAACCTAAATATTAATTAATTACATGTTTTAAGATTATAATAATCCTTTAAATTAGAATATTATTTAACTAATTAATAATGGACGTAAAGGAAAAAGAGGTGGGCCAAGGCCCATGGAGTGTCCCACCAAATCATTCCCACATCATGAAGGAGAAATCCAAAGCCCAGAAGTCGAAGGAAGTAGCCCTTCTCGCAAGCTTTCCTTCATCCTCTGACTTTCACCATTGCCATTTTCCCAAAATTTTCAACCTTTTTTTCTTTCTTTTTCGTTTTCTTGTTCGTTTTCCTTCAGAGATGTGGCTTCGAACCTCCAAATCACGCTCTCTCCACTCTTTGCTTCCTCATTTTGTGCCTCCGTTTCTTTGGTTTTAATCTGTTCTGCCCCCATTAGCTCCTTTGTTTTTTGGGTTTAATCGCGCTTTCGATTCGATTGAGGAGTTGGATTGGTTTAGGCGCCGACAAATTTCTGGGTTTTTTTTTTTTTTTTTGGTAATACCCTCTTTTCGATTTGGATTTTCCCCCTGAGTTGTTCGATCTGATATCGGGGTCTGATTGATTGCTGGAGATGATCTGTGTTTGATTGAATCGGGTAGTTTCAATCGCTGTTTGATTGGAATTTGGTTTGAGATGGTCTATTTCCCATACTCGATCTCGGTCTGCAAGTCCGTTGACCAACCAACCACTATGGCGAGTTCAGTGAATTTAGCCGATTCGAGTTTCAAATCCAGGAACAAGAAGATGACTCCCTCATCGACTTGTTCGAAATTTCCCGTTTGTCATCGGTCTCGATCGGCCGTCATCGATATTGTGATTTTGATTGCTGTCGTTGGTGCTTGTGGGTTTTTGTTATTCCCTTATATGAAGCTTCTTATTGTTGAATCCCTCGAGATTTTCGGTGCGATTCTGTATTTAATGGGAGATGAAGTCTCTCGTGCTCCTTGGATTTATGGATCCATTGGACTTGGGATTTTCTGTGCTTTATTAGCTGCTTGGGTTGTTTTAATATGCACGAGCAGGAAATGTGGAAATCCCTATTGCAAGGGGCTTCGAAAGGCGGCTGAATTCGACATCCAATTGGAGACGGAGGAGTGCGTGAAGAACTCTACTCCAGTGGTTAAAAATGGCGTGAAGAAGGGGCTTTTTGAATTGCCCCGTGATCATCACCGCGAGTTAGAAGCTGAACTTAAGAAGATGGCACCTCCTAATGGAAGGGCAGTGCTCATATTTCGAGCAAGATGTGGCTGTTCTGTTGGTAGGTTGGAAGTTCCTGGGCCTAGGAAGCAGCTGAAGAAGATCAAGAAATAGTAGTATTAATAATAAATATTGTTTAAAGCTTATAGATAGGATATCATTACAGGTTTACTCAGTATGCAGAGAAGAATTTTCTTATTCTTGTGGAAAAAGATTAAGAACGTTCAATGTCTCTAAATAAGCTCATGGCAGTCAGGTGTAAGGAACATATACAGTTTTCAAGTAGGGAATATACAATCCTTGTTGCATCATCTCGATGTGCTCTCTTATTTCCATATGTCCTGCTCCTATTTACTTCTTCAATCCATTTGTTTTGTCTTTTTTTCTGTTCATACTCATGAATTACACTTTTAGTTGAAACATATGCATGTTGGTTGATCACGGCAGTATTATTAGACGATTCGAGTATTGTGTGGCTATGTGTGATTGTTAACTTGCAAATGGAAGAAGATCAGGCCTCTCCTCTAGATTTAGAGTCCTTGATGGATTACTTTGATTGTTGACTTGCAAAATATTAGTACCTGGCTTGTTTCATAACCCGCGGTCTGTTGCATCAGTGTCTGCTCGTCTCATTTTGATATCCCTAAGACGACATGGCTTTGTTTGATAGTATTTCTTTATTAGGCTTTCTGAAAGGTATGGTGTAGTCATTGTTACAAGGGTGAAGACAAGCTATGTTAACAGTTGTAGATATAGCATTTCTGCTGCTGCTGCTGATACCAACCATCCTAATCATATTAAAGAGCAGGTAGTGTTCTTCTTTTACTTTCTGAGCTTGCAAGTCCTGATGAGTCTTTTATCTCGAACCTATACGCTTTCCTTTCTACGTTGTGATGTCCCACATTGGTAAGGGTGTGGAAACCTTCCCCAAGCAGACGGCTTTTAAAGCCTTGAGGGGAGCCTGAAAGGGAAAGCCCAAAGAGGACAATATCTGCTAGCAGTGGATCTGGGTCGTTACATACGCAGAATCCATGTTTCATGTACTAAAATTCTCTTAATTCTCTTCACTTTTCTAAGAACTGAAACTCAGGTCATTCATGCATATTGCTTCTCTACTATCAAAGCTCATATTAAATATGGCTGGCAAACTCCATATGGGTCTATGTTCTGTGAAAACACTGATGTGCATCCAACTTAGGTTTTTGCGTTTGAAATCCTCTTTTAGGGACCTTTAGTTCTTGGAATTGGATTCCCTTTTGGATGTAAAATTATGGGTCGGACCAATTGGATCAAGAGGAAGGTCTCTGAGAACTGCTGCAATCTGGGCTGGTGTAAACTGAAAGGGAATCAGGCATCCTCCCTTCCATGTCTCATAGGGAAGAATGGACGAAAAGGGAAGAAATTTGATGCCCAGATACAACACCAGAATGCATTTTAATGAGATTGAAACATTTGTATGCAGGATTATAGGTCATTCTTGTAGCATCTTCGAAAGAAAGTTGGATCGTTGCATTTCAAATAGTTTGTTACTGAACTGGTTATACGTGCACTTCGACATTTGAGTTTAATCGGGTAATGATTGAATCCTACTACAAAATGAAATATATTATTGAAACTTTTAAAAGTTATAATTATCAATTTAGCCTGAGTGATGAGATGATCTTTAGCTATAAAAATTGAGTTCTTTTTCAACAAAATGGATGGTTTTTTTTTTTTATTCAATGGAGAAAAATCCGAGGCTATATTGATAAAAGCAAGACGTAAAAGCCCGGGCTCGCTGTTGAGAAGAAGCTGAAGTATCAACCAACAGAGTGGCCCTGGGCGGAGTGCTCGATGCTGTGCTCGCTTTAGAATGCAGTTTCATCCTTTGAGTCAACCGCGTTTTCTCCTTCCGGTCTTTGTAATTCATCCAATTTCAGGAGATTCGTCAGCTTCCTTATCTCTCGAGGTAACTTCCCCAACCTCCGCCATTCTAGATTCGACGAACCTCTTTCAACTTATGAGCATGGAACTTCCTCTCTCCCGCTATCAAAACTATGTTTATGATCGGCTTTTCGTATTTCTCCCTGTGTTTCTTAGATTGCGAGCTTTTCAGGAAGAGATCTTTTCTTTATAGTACAAGAAAATTACGTAAACCTTCGGAAGTCGATCCAGTGTAGATATCTGTTGCTAGATAGAGAACCTGGTTTTATGTAAGAGATTACGAGATGCACTTGAGATCTTTGATATTTTTGAGCTAGAGGACGGTTATGATGTTGGTAACAGCACGTTCGACACGTTAATTAATGCGTTTTTTTGGCTTGTAATCTGGAAGAGGGGGTGAGGAGGTTGTGTAATTACATGATTGACAATGGATTTGAACCCCACCAATACATGAGGAAGAGGATTGTACTTACGCATGTGAAGTGCGGGGTGATGGTTGATGCCCGTAGGCTGTTCGATGAAATGCTCGAAAGGATGCGGCTTTGTGGAACGAGTATTCTAATTGTACTTCAGAGCAAACGTCATTGCAGATTGTGCAGAGAAATCGCGTTTGTGGTGACTGCGATTCTGCGATCAAGATGATTGCTAAGATAACCAAACGTGAAATGGTGATCAGAGATGCTAGCAGATTCCATCGTTTCAGAGACGGGAGTTGTTGCTCTTTTGGAGACTAATGGTGATGCTGGTAAATCTCTGTCGCTTTCTTTTGTTTTTTTGTTTATTTTCGTAGGAACGGGCAATGTCTCTTCCATTCAATAGACATGATTACCTTTCTTTTTCAAGGGGTTATAGTGAAATGAATCCATGGCGTACTCGTCCGGAACTTACATTGTGTTCTTCAACTTCTCTACAATATCTCTATAGGAAGGTCCAGATAACTGCTAGAATTTTAATATCAATGGGTGCCCTGAAATTTGAACCTGGTTTATCTGAAAGAACAGAGAAGAAGAGGGATTTTCGTCCCAATCAAACTTTTCATGAATTGATTCATTATTTACAACTTCAGAACTTGCCAAATCCCATAAGAAACAAAAAAAAATCATCACTGTCCCGATTTGCACATTTGAAGCCGAGGTTGTGCAGCAAATAATAAAACAATGACACTTCCAGAAAAAACCTATGGAATCAAAAACTAGTTGAAGAAGGACGAAAATGAAAATGACGAAGAATCTTCAGAACTGGGATCTTGTTCTTGCGTTGATGAGGCGTCAACTTCGACCGTAATTTCATCGTGAGATTCCGAATCGGAGTCCCCCGATCCATGCCCCAAGCCCGATTCCACCGATTCTACATCCATTGGTTCACCGTCGTTAACCCATAGATTCACTACAACCACTCGGTCTTCGTCTCCTTCCATATCTTCATCATCGTCCTTCTTCCCTTCCTGATCGTCCACCGGCATCGTGAACCGACAAATCGGACACGTTCCACGAACCCTCAACCATTTCTCAATACAATCCGAATGATACAGATGTTTGCAAGGCATCTCTCTCGCCTCCGCACCGACTTCAAATCCGTCCAAGCAAATCGCACAATCCATCCCCAATTCCGTAATCCCGACTCTCGGCATCGCATCGATCGAAGCCTTGGATGCAGGCAACGGCCCGGATTTCTCCGACAAGTCGCGGAGAAAAGACTCAAGAACACGACCTTCAAAAACGACGACCGTTCGGGCAGCATGATCGAGAACAACGATCTGGTTGAGGTGCGATCCAGGGGTGGTTCGGGCAAGGCCAAGCAGAAAGGGGAGAAGCATAGAGAGGCTGCGAGGCGGGGGCAGCGACGGCGGAGGAGAGGAAGAAGAGTCGGAATCGGACATGGTGGGTAAGAGAGAAACTAGAAAGATGGGAAGAAACAGCAGAGTCAGAGACGAAAGAGAGTAATATATGAAAGAAGAAAGAAGGCGGCCATGGCGAAGAGAGATGAGAAGATTCTGGAAGATAATAGTTTGCTGATATGACGATCAGGTCAGGGCGTACGTAGGCGCGGTGACCGACTTGACGGGCCACCACCGGACGGCTTTGAAGTCGGTCCCATTATGACACCGTTGGCAAACACGGGAAGTCTACGCTTTATTCTCTACGCTTATTAATATATATATATATATATATACACACACACATTGTATTTTCCTTTTTTTTAAAAAAAAATTATTTTCCATTTTAGTTGATAATTGATTGATGGATTCATTCGTCCACTTGTTATTTATTGAATTATTTGGAGTTGATAATTATTTTCAATTTCCAGAAATTTGATTTTAGTTTTTTTTATATATATATATATATATAAATTTAAAATTTGACTATGAAATTTAGGATTAAATAATTGAAAAAAAAAAAAAAAAAAGGAGAAAAGCCAGTAAAAAGCCAAGACAGAGAACCAAAACCAGAGCTGAAGGCGGAGGAGGGAAGAAAGAGTAACGAGAGAGCTTCCTTCTCTGTTATTGAGTTGGGGTCTGGAGGATTCTTCTTCTGCTCCTTGCTCCCCAACAATCTAACTTCCATGACTTCCGTTGTGGATTTCTTGCATATGAATCGCTTCGATATCGTCCAGATTTATCGTCAATACTGTGGTAACACCTTTCTTCTCCTCCTCACTGTTTCGAATTCTCGATTCAGTTCATTTCTCTTGAATCTTCTCCGATGCCTTTTCTATCCACAATTTGTTTCGTTATGCCTTTAGAATCTTAATATTTCTGCCCTTGGATTGATATCTGATTCAATATTTGAGGATCTTTAATAGAAATCTATGTATGCGTCTGCTTGCTCATGTATGTTAGCTTAGAAGATATAGGTATGTCAGAGATTTGGATGTTTTTATTTATCTTTTAGAAGATGGTTATTTGCTAACTGATTTTGGATGCTTAAGATGTTATGACGTATTTAGTCCGAAGAAGTCTAGGTGCCTTTATTTTTTGGAACCTGCATTAATAGTTTGGATGATAAAGAATGTAAAGAATTCAGTTTATGGCGATTCTCTTGCCGAGTATGATGCATGAGTGTTAATTTCAATTTTCTGTTCTGGTTAGTCCGATTCCTTAGAGAACAAATGAGCAATGTTATTACTCGTAGGTTGTCGGAAGAATAATCCAAGAATTACTCATTATTTTGTCACTTTGTGAACATTTGATAGAACTGGAACAATGTATAGAGGATATGTGTGGCCCTTGCACAAGGATGGTGCAAACTTCGAGAAGGGATCCAAAAAAGGAATTAGTAATATTGTATTATGATTTCAGAGTCTGAATTGCAGCCTTTTAGGAGAAGTTTGAGTCTTACTTAATCATTCCAGATTGATAATAGTAATATTGTTGTTATACTAGTTTCGCTTTTCTTTAGATGACAGAAAACCAGAATAAAAGGAGCCGAGAAAATGTGGGGTTGGTGGAGCTGAGTGGAAACACTAAACTCTATTGAAAGAAAGTAAAATAGTATCATGTTTTGGCTCTTGATCGTTTAGAATCAAGCTACTTATATATGCTTATCACTTTTTCGTATGAATGTAATATGAATAAATGGTTATCATGTGCATGGGTTTCTTCTGACTTCCGAGCACGTCAATGGCTTCCTATTTTTGTTTGAATGTATTACCTCTTAGTTGTCATGGAAAAAAGATCACGGTTCTGATATTTGAAACCCCCCTCATTGGTTGGACTATGAATTAATTGAACTCTAGTCTGATGTGCATTACGTTAGGAACTCAAATTAGCAATATAAGCGAGTCTTAACTTGTTTACAAACTTGTTTATAGATATTCGATCTCAAAATGGCCTTTATCATGGGAATGAAGACTCTGGACATGTTGAATCACAAATAGCTAAAAGTTCAAAGCAGGCTCTTGCAGAACTCTTCCTTTATGTGAAATCATCGCTGCAGATGGGGTATATCCCTCAAAACCTGTACTATAGCCCTCGAGTTGTTTTTTCAGATGCACTTTGTGTCAAATGGACCATGGTATTCTCGGATACGCAGAGTTACAAATCAATATTTTTTGTCCTTTCAAAAGAAGATATTTTCCAAACATATTTTAACCGACAGATGTATGAAACTAAGATAATTTATCAACTCAATTATCAAACCAAGGTAATTTTTAATAGACATGGATGCTTGCTAGTTTGATTTCATTTAGTTCTGGGTCTAGTATTTTCTGGCAGTTCAATAAAAAGAAATGTTACATGGAAAAAGAAAAAAAACTACACAGGTGCCAAATTTACAACTTGATAACGGAGGCCATCCTAAGTCATTTTTGTACTTCTGAAGCTGATCACAAGAAATAGCTGTTGATTACAGTACAAAAGTTTTTCTTATACTAACCTAGGTTATCTGAAAAGCATTTATTACACTGGCAGGAACTCAATTGTTGATGAACTAGCGAAGGTGATGTCACATCCAAACTTGATGGTAAACTCTTCCTTCCTAACAGTTTTCCTGGTTTCATACTATTCTCTGGTTTCCTTCAATTTGGCAAGCTTTTGGTATTAGCTGGTGGCAATATTTTTACTTTGTGCTTTGAATATGACAATTTTATTTTGTAGGTAGACTTCTCTGAATTTTCACGCTTTTACGAGTTTGTTTTTTTTGTGAGCCGTGAAAATGGTCAAAAGAATATCAGTAAGATTCCTTCTTTTGACTTGGATATAAAATATATGTTTTGGTTTCCCAACATAGATAACATGAAATGTGCACTAAGGAAGTCAAAGTTTCTCTTACATTCCGACAAGTTATTTAGTTTTTTATTTTATTTGAATTACAGCTGTTGGTAGGGCAGTTAGAGCATGGAGATTAGTTTTGGATGGGAGATTTCGGTTACTTAATCAATGGTGTGACTTTGTTGAGGTATCCTTTTTCCCTTTCTCTTTCTTTCCTTTTTATTTTAGAACTCAAGGACACAGTAATACAACCTACAGAAATATCTTGTTCAAATGAGGTATTTTCCTTTTGTTGAGGTACCCTTTTCCCCTCCTCTTTCGTTTGGTTATTTAAGCAGAATGATAATAATCAGGAAACCTGAATTTCTACCTGAAACTATTTTCATCGACCTGGGTTTATGGGGCCCAACAATTATGAAACCTACGTATATGCTAAATGCCCATGAATGAACTTTCCTATGTAGTTTTCCTCTGCAGACATGTTTGGATACACGTTCATATGTGTTTTACAAAAATGTATGCATTTGTCTCAATTTTTGAAGTAGATGAAATTGGGAAAATTTGGGTATTTTTATACCTAAGCTTTTAATCTATCTGATTTCTTCTATCTCGGTTTATGAATTTATGTTATTTTTGTGGTTTTATTCTTCAATTCGTTCCATGAAATAGAATTGCGATGTAGTGCAACTTATCTCCAGGGTTCTGATCTATTTAAGTTCCATAGAACAATCAGCGACACAATATATCTGAGGATACTTGGCTGCAAGTCTTGGCTTTCAGCTGTTGTGTACATGAAAATCTGGAAGGGTATGACCCGGAAGGTATATGTACTTTTTTCTTTTTTTTTAAATAATTCTTAATGGAAGTATTTTCGTAGATATTATTTGAATTAAAAATGTTAAGACTTGGGAGTACGTCAAGCAATCCGCCTCCTTATAGCTGTTGAATTTTTTTCAGTATAATTGAATTCTATCACAAGAAAAAGTATGTTGTCTATTTATATAAGAAAATTTTAATGCTTCACTTTCATGTTCAACCTTCTGTTTTGGTTCTTCTGTGGATGCTTGAAATATCATGAGAATGTGAATATTAATTGATCTCATTATGTTGTTATGGTGGCTTGGTATGATTATTTTGTTACCTCAAGTATAGGCTTAACGCCTAAAAAGGGTTTTGAGGTTTTGTGGCTTGGTATTATCATCGTGTTTAATAATTGCACAGTTCTATATTTTCTGAATTCATTAAAAAATTTCTAATTAACTTGAGGATTATGCCTCACTTCTCTTGAAGAAAGAGCCTTAAGACTACCCCCTTAGTCTTTTGGAATGTTGGGTATGCTTTTAAATAAGCACAATATTTCTCTTTTTTTACTGTAATGTCTGGAGTTACTCAGTTGCGTTCTTCAATCAGGTGCTTGGCCTGTCCTAATTGATGACTTCGTCGAGCACATGTACAGGTTCGTATGTGGAGATTCTTACACATGCGATGAGTTTGAAGTTGCATGTGGTTAAATAATTCTGGCCTATATATCATTTTAAGACTGTCGTTTTTTTATCACTGAAGCCTCGTACTAACACTTGATATGCTGATAGCATGTAATTATTGTGCAGGCGGTCAGGATCTAATAAAATTTCGAAGTTATATTGTACTTGTGGAGACTCAGAATCACAGTCTGGTGTCTTTGAAGATTCTCTTCCTGGTATAGACTCGTTCAACTGTCAAAAAAAAAAAAAAAAAAAAGTACTGTTTTACATATTGGACTTCCATGGCATGCAGAATGATATATAAGCCGTGTTTTACTGGTTTGGATTATGTCAGGATTAAAGTCTTTCCCTGGTTTGAAGAGGAAATTACCCGAGGACATGCAAGTGGACGACATTATGTCTCTGAGTGATCCTAGAACCGGCTCCATGGAGTTAATTCCTGTTACGAGCCTCAAGAAAACTAGATTCATGGGTTGCAGGCCAGTGAACTTGGAGGTAAACTTACCGTCATGCACTGCAGATGAGAACATAGATATGGTTCGACATAACGGTGCAGTAGGCTGCAAATCTCCTTGTGCTATTGAAGGTTTTCTGTCAAAAGGTTTTGCTGGGCTTTTCTCGACACGTTCAATCCTAGGATTGGATCGAGAAAGGAAAGCGTCATTCATGTGATCATGTCCGATTTAGCTCTAATGATTTTTAAAGGTAGTATGTTCTATAATGTGGTTATATCTTTATTTTTTGTTATGGTAACAGCATTTTTAAACGGATGAGTTTGTGATTTGGCAGCAAACTAAATTCATAAACCCAGATAGAAGAAACGAGCTTTTAATTTCAATAGTTCATAGGGGAAACAGAAAACTAGTGGGGATTGTTTAAAGTAGTAGATTTGAAGTTGTAAGATGGACCAAAAATATCACAAGGGAAAAGGACGGCTTGGAATTTGCATCTTGTTACGAGGGGGCAGTCGACAATATGAATGGAAGATGCTGCAGTGTATTGGAAGCAAAGGAAGATGTTGGAGAGCAGAGGGATGCGTTTGTATGACTTGCATTCCACTTGTGGAGTGTGCCCCGTCGCAGCTTTAATGGCATCACTTATGTTCTCTAACCCATACACCTCTCCAAATGGAAATATCGCTGCATCAAAAACAACCATTCATCAGCATTGCCTTCTCCAAGTTAGTATCATTACTTTTTTTTTTTTTTCGGAAACACACACCTCTGTTTGCTAGGATATTGAAGAGATCATAAGTTTGCTTAAGCTTGAGTGCAGTTTCAAAGAAAGCATGCTGAGTGAGCAATGGTTCAGAACAAATTCCATGCCTTTCCCATTCTTTCTTCCATATCTTCTCATTCTCCTCCTCCTCAAGAGATGGCCATTCTTTATCTAACTCATTTTTCAGATCCGACATCTGTAAAAACCCATTTACAGAACAATACATCATATAATCCATATGAATCATCAAACCCTCTCTATATCTCTACAGAAAAGTACCTTTGAAGGGTCAAAAGTGGTTCTAGTTTTGCAATTGGTAATCCCAGAAGAACAAGCAGGCCAGAAGCCAGAAATGCTGAAAGTGGGTGTTGCTGGTTTTTTACAAGGCTTCAAATTGCATAGAGAAATCTGCCACTGATGCTTACCATCAAATAGCCAGAAATTAGAAGAGAGATCGTGAGATTACCAAATGGGAACAAACAAAATTTGATTACCTGTTGAACAAGGTAAAAGAAGTCGGAGTTTCCACTGCCTTCTGAGACCGGCTGGACAGGTAAACAAAAGGGGAATGTCAATTTCATCAACTCTGAATGGAAAGTATAAACAATTTAGTTTCAATACTCAATAATTACCTGTGAAGAGTTATATGATGCAATGTCGTCTTGACATGTTACGGTTCTACCAAGAAGCTGGAAGATAAGAAAGAGAATCAACATTGGAGTTGGAGAATTGGGATGAAACTTCACTTGGATACTCAAAATTCTTGAGGCAAAACCTCTTATTATGTGCAAAGGAAACCAACCTCTGAGGACTTAATGACCTAATATACCGTTGGTTCAATTTAATGGGTAGATAGTCCTATCGAGATCCACCGAAGAATTCCCTTCTAAATGGAGAATGAGAGAGAGTGAAGAAAGATTTTTCTCCCTTAGTTAAACAGGTGATTATATTTTTTGTCCTTGACCTTACCTCACTTTTTTCAATTGAATTACACTCCAATTTATTAATAGAATTGAATTACACTCCAATTTATTAATAGAGAGGGTAGGTTTCTACTCAATAGCTTTAGTTTTTACTAATTGAGAATTGAATGCTTAAAGTGGATTAGTAAGTGTATCCATCTCCAACCAATTTAAAGACCGACTTTAATGGGTTAATTCAATGCCATCTAATTCCATGCATTGTGAGGTAAGCTGTAGGGTTCTTAAAATTTTTGTCACTTTTCCAAGAATGGAATTGGAGATGAGCAGGGGCAGTAGCAGGAGCAGCAGCAACAGTCAAGATGGTGTTGGTTTGAAGAGAATCGTCAAATGTAGAGGATTGAACGATAACGACTAAAATGAGATACAAAGTAGAAAACAAAAGAAAGAACAGTAGGAGATCGATGATAGCAGCACGTGTGTGGCGCTGGCTCATACAGATTTGACAACAAAACTCTCGAGGATTCATCTTTGTCTCTTCACAACCTACCAACACTCACGCAGCCATTTCCAGATCCTTCATGAATCAGATGGAAAATTCAAGCTTTTTAATCTGCTGCTTCTCAAACCCCAAATTCTATGTTCTGGAAACTGCTAATTCCTCTATTTAAACACCTCTTTAACTAATCATTCCACAAATTACAGAACAGGGCGTTTAAGCCATTGCTGGTTCTTCTCCTGAAAGTATGTCTTCTGCTATCTCTTTGTTTCCATCTCTCTCTCCTGTCTGCAAGTTTCATGACCATTCAAGGAAGACCCACCACTCCAAAACAGCTAACAAAGAAAACCCATATTCTATAATTCCTCTAGACATTAAAATCAGTAAGAGAAATCTATTGACATCCACTGGTCTCACTCTTCTAGCAGACGGTTTTCTCGATGACTCTGTTTCGGCAAGAGCAGAGCCAGAGAGTCCTATTGAATCCACTTCCAGTCGTTTGTCGTACTCAAGATTCTTGCAATATTTGGATGAAGGGGGAGTGAAGAAGGTTGATATTCTTGAGAACGGTACGGTCGCCATAGCTGAGATTTATAATCCTGTGTTGGACAAGATTCAGAGGGTTAAGATTCAGCTGCCTGGGCTGCCAAAAGAGTTGATAAGGAAGATGGAGCTTAAGAATGTGGATTTTGCAGCTTATCCTATGCAGGTCAATTGGGGGCTTGCAATTCTTGACTTGTTGGGAAATTTGGCCTTTCCATTGTTGTTGCTTGGTTCCTTGCTGCTTCGATCATCGTCTTCAAACTCTCCTGGAGGACCCAACTTGCCATTTGGACTTGGAAGGAGTAAGGCCAAATTCCAGATGGAACCCAACACAGGAGTGACATTTGATGATGTAGCTGGGATTGATGAAGCGAAGCAAGATTTCCAAGAAATTGTGGAGTTTTTGAAGATCCCCGAGAAGTTTTCAGCTGTTGGAGCAAGAATACCAAAAGGGGTTCTCTTAATTGGGCCGCCAGGAACAGGGAAGACCTTGTTGGCTAAAGCCATTGCAGGGGAAGCTGGAGTTCCTTTCTTCTCTCTCTCTGGTTCTGAGTTCATAGAGATGTTCGTTGGGGTTGGGGCTTCAAGAGTGAGAGATTTATTCAACAAAGCAAAAGCCAATTCCCCGTGCTTAGTTTTCATTGATGAGATAGATGCTGTTGGGAGACAGAGAGGCACAGGCATTGGTGGAGGAAACGATGAAAGAGAGCAGACACTGAATCAATTGCTCACTGAAATGGATGGTTTTACTGGTAATAGTGGTGTGATCGTCATCGCCGCCACCAACCGCCCTGAAATTCTCGACTCTGCTTTGCGCCGGCCAGGGAGGTTCGATAGACAAGTAAGCTAATTCCTCTGTTCAAGTTCAAGTTCTTGTTCTTGTTTATACTTGATAGGATAATGGATCTTGATAGTGTTAACGATTTGGATAAAGGTTACAGTGGGATTACCTGACGTGAGAGGAAGAGAAGAAATCCTGAAGGTTCACAGCAAAAACAAGAAACTGGACAGCAACATATCACTCAGCATCGTTGCAATGAGGACGCCAGGCTTCAGCGGCGCCGATTTGGCTAACCTAATGAACGAAGCTGCAATTCTAGCAGGAAGAAGAGGCAAAGAACAAATCACAGTGCGAGAAATCGACGATTCCATCGACAGAATTGTGGCCGGCATGGAAGGAACCAAAATGACAGATGGGAAGAGCAAAATTGTCGTGGCTTACCATGAAATTGGGCACGCCGTGTGCTCGTAAGTTGTAGAAAACAGAGACTATGATGATTCAAATTGTTTGTATATATTTTTGAGATGTGGGTTTGGCAATTGAACAGGAGCTTGACGGAGGGTCATGATCGAGTGCAGAAAGTGACACTGATTCCGAGAGGGCAAGCGAGAGGACTGACATGGTTCTTGCCCGGAGAAGACCCATCTCTGGTTTCGAAGAAGGAATTATTTGCTCGAATTGTTGGTGGGCTTGGTGGCAGAGCGGCGGAGGATGTGATCTTTGGGGAGCCGGAGATCACCACCGGTGCTGCCGGAGATCTGCTGCAGGTCACCCAAATCGCTAGACAGGTAATGATGCTTCTCTCCTTTGTGTTCATCTAGATCGGTGATTAGTAACGTAGAATTGGATGCAGATGGTGACGGTATTTGGGATGTCAGAGATAGGGCCATGGGCATTGATAGATCCAGCAACACAGAGCAGTGATGTGGTGATGAGAATGCTGGCTCGAAACTCCATGTCGGAGAAGTTAGCCGAAGACATAGATTCATCCATACGACATATAATAGAAAGGGCATACGAAATTGCAAAAGCCCACATTAGAAACAATCGAGAAGCCATTCATAAATTGGTGGATGTTTTGTTAGAGAAAGAAACCATCACCGGAGATGAATTTAGAACTATTCTCTCCGAGTTCGCCGACATTCCTTCAACCCATCACAACACGACTGCTTCTATACCTCTTTTGGTCGAAGCCTAGATATATTTGAACATATATTGTCTATTTTAGCTCGTTATGTATAGCCGTCAACTTCAAGCAAATATTGTCCGTTTTGGCTCGTTACTTATTATCATATCTTCACAGTTTTACAACGTGCATGGAGAGATTTTCACATCCTTATAAGGAATGTCTCGTTTTCCTCTTCAATCGATGTGGGATCTCACAATCCACTATTTGAGGGTCCAATGTTCTCGTTGGCACACTATCCGGTATCTGGCTCTGATACCATTCGTCTGCTTTTATTCATTCCATATAACCATCAGCCTCATAATTATGACGTCTATTAGGAAGAGGTTTTCACATCCTTATAAAAACTTACAAGAAATGCTTCGTTCTTTTCTCCCACCGACATGAAATCTCACACCAATCTACCCCATCAATGTAGAATCTCAAAATCCACCCCATCGATATAGAATCTCACAATCCATCTCTTAAGGGTCAACATCTTCATTGGCACACTATCCGTGTCTCGTTCTGATGCCATTTGTAACATTCCAAACCCATTACTAACAAATAAATTGTGAGCAAAGAAATTGTGAGCCTTGACTAGAGGTTGTTCGAGGGCTTTATAGTGCTAGTTTATAAGTAGGAAATATCATACCATTGTGGAAAATCGTGATTCCTAACAATAATTACAGGAGTGAATAAATTCATACGTTTTGTTGAAGAAATTCGCTGTCATTGCACTGTCCAATGCTACGAGAATAGCTGCCAGCCCATAGACCGTTGATGCTGAACCTCGACGACCAAGGTTTCAGACAGGTGAGATTGCTGCACGTTGCTGGTTGCCATTGCAGTACGAGTTGATAATAATCGAACGGAACTGCTTTCATCTCTTCCAACTCATTTGAACTATCCTTTGATTCCACCAAAGCTATGCCATCCAAAGCATACTCTTTCAAAACATTCAAAATCAAAATGGTTAGGAGAAGGAAGAAAGTGTTCTTGTTTGCCATCATCTTATCTTCTAATATGATGCGTTAATATCTCAAAACGTTGTATTCCATTATTTATAGTTCGTGTCAAATGGATAAGTCTCCGAATTTATTATAAAAAAATGCGAACATTGTAAGAATTATTGGGATATATATTGGAAAATACCATAATAATTTCGTCCCCCTTATCTATTTGCTATTAAAATCTAGACATAATAATGTTTAAATTTACGGAAATTTTGTAAACTAATTGAGATTATTGTTAGCGTGTATGAATTGATCATGATTTTCAACGTGAGCATAGTTCAATAAATAATGTGAGATATCGACAGAAACAAAACATTATTTATAAAGGTGTGAAAATCTCTCCCATACTAACAGATACGTTTTAGCAACGGTTTGATCGTCTTGTTTTGTGAGTAGACATAAATTAGCGCTTACGTGTGCATATTGATTGCGTAATGTTCCCATCAATTTGGGTTGGGCTTCAAACGAAAACATCATATGATTATTGGGCCAATATCAGAAGAGCAAATGGGCTTTAATGGGCCTTGATGATCAAGCCCATGTTGGCAGGGGCAGGGGAGGGCCCACCGGCAACTGGAAACCTCGGAAGCCGTACGATCTCTGACCCCCTTGTCATAAATATGATATTAAAAACCACTTTTTTTAACTTCAGGTAAAAAATTGTGGCCCAAATATTTAATTTAATTTCGATTATAATTATTTTGATAGAAATAAAAAAAAAGGTATAGTAATTAAATTATTATGATAGGATGATAGGACCACATGAGAGGGGGTCCCATGCCCTAGAATTATGGGAATGAAAGGGTTTTTGGAGCCATTACTTGTCCCCATACGTGGACCCCACATCCCCCTCCCTCCCTACATATTTGATATTTGCATTTTGGCTAACCA